TAGGGATAGAGAAAGAAGAAGAACAAGAGCAGAAGACTGAGAGCCGAAAACAATGTTTTGATTAATCTCTCTTGTATTACCTTACCTAACCCCAGTGGAGAGTGAGCAAGACGTTTCAGTCGTGAGATTGAAACCAGATATTTCTGTTCACACTGGCCCATTTCCATCACTTGTGCTGGAACTGAGTTTGAGAAAATGACTGGTGACTGAAAAAACCAGCCATACTGTCTGGCCTTTTTTTTTCTATGTCAGTCTACAGTTTAAATGCCAGTGCACATGACGTTCTGCAACAGGAGGCAGCCCGTCCCTCATCACATTTTTATTCCCTTGAAAACACGACTCCTTTGTCAGAGAACGTCACAACTTGAATTTACTTGTGTACCCCCACTGAGATAATTCTTAAACCACAAATGAGTCACTGCTGTTGCTCTATGTTCAGTTACTCATTCACACACCTCAACAACCTGCTGGTGCACTTGTCACACAGCTGTGAAAGCCTGTAGTCTTTTCTGAATGGAAACTGGCTTGTAAACCATGTGTCCGTCACACTTTGTTTTAGAAATCTAAGTGTAGGAAAGTATGATATATTGCAGTACTGCATCACTTGCCTTCCAGTTTCCTCGGCTCACAGTCCTCCCTCCTGTGTAGTATAGAGTTTCTGTCCCTGCCACCTTATATTCAAAGTAATGACCTTTTGTAGGGTTCTTTTGTCCAAGGTCCAAAGGCAGTTGGGGTTTCAAGTGATCTCCCAGTGGTTTCCCACTGCGCCTTGAGTCACTAAGAAAATGATCCACTGCATTAGTGTACAGAAATCCTTGAGCTTGTCAGCAGTGTACTAAACACTAGGAACAGACCCAAAGAAAAGTGATGATTTAATTTCTGAGTCCTGGTACGGAATTTTTGTGTGTGTGGTTCATGACAACAAACAGTGTTGTACACTTTCAGTAATGTATTAGCTAAGGCAGGTCTATTTGTATGAGCTGACATGCTGTAATGATATGGTAGTCCAACAAAAGCCTGCTTGTTTGAGCTGACAAGATGGTGTAAATATGGCTAAACAGAGAGCTTTTGTACAAAAACTCTGCCGTCCACCCCTCAAATATACAATAAACAGATGGATGCTGAACCACCAAAGGCCCAGATTTTGTTGCCATGTTCCCTGGCTTTGACCCCAAAAATGTACAACCCCCAGGGTATTGTTTCTGACTTGAGAGTGTTTTCTCAGTGTATAGTGATTTCAGAACTACAGAAAATATCTTCTGTTTGCCTTTCTTCCTTGTCTCAAACCTTATGTCTGCCTAAGGCTTGCACTCATGATCACACACACAGCTTCTCAGGCTGATCTCTACATGTCTGCATTTTGTCTCCTGCTCTCAAATTAAAGAGCTGAGTTCAACGTGGCAGGTGCTGGTCATCCCTACGCACGACTGCCAGCGCCAGGTTGGGTCATGCACATGTGAGCACAGGTGGGCCAGATGATAGATGAATAAGCTCAACATCTCTACAGTCCTGCCTGTCTTCACCCTCTCATCTCGCTTTTCCATCGATATGCATAATCTCTCAGTTGCGCAGACTGTGCTGTATTTCCATCATTCACACTGACAAACACATACACTTCAGACATTCTGCGATCTGGAGGTGGACCAGACAGTACAATTTTAAAGCAAGATTTCAAGCCAGACTAAGTCATTCTGAGGGTTTTAGGCATCCACAGTGTTCCATTTATTGCACAACTCTCCTGTTTTGTCAGTTTCCTGTCAATTCCTGACCATATTTATGATATGTGGAGATAAAACAGAGACAAATGATTCCTTGAGTCAGTGCAAGAGACACTGGAATAGAGAAAGCCCCAGAGCAGTCTGATTCATATAAGAATTGATTACTGGTGTTATTACTTTAAGGTGTGTCTCAGGGATGGTTGAGCAATCGAGGAGAACTGAGCTGATAGAAAGAGATGGATTATCACAAGGATGCTTAGTGTAGCTTAGTGTCTGAGCTCACATTGCATGCTCAGTCTGTTTGTCAAGACCTAGACAAGGCCAGTGCCCACAACTGTTTTGACTTGTTGTCCAGTGCCCCCAGTACTGATGACAACAGACACCTTGGTGAATGTCTTTTAGCTTCAGAGATAGTCATTACTCCAATATGTTTGTCTGCAATTGGGGAGCTAGTCCAACCCACAGCTTCTTTTAATATACATCTAAGTAATAAAACTCTGTAGAACTTTGTGCACAACATTATGGCAAGCTAGAATTACCAGCTCGCAGTTGTATGCTTCCACCAAGCAGTCAGTTTAGTTTACATGTTTATCTGTCATATACATATAAGCCTTAGTGAAGGCTTAGAAACATCTAATCAGTTCATGCTTGAATCCAAGTGGACATTTCCGCCAAATTGGGAGAAATTCCCTGATGGCATTCCAGAGATATCACATTCAGAAGAATCGGATGGAGAGACAACCCAAAAACATGCATCCAGCCACAACTGTCACCGGTGTAGAGGCATAAAAATGGAATGCCATATGTTACATATGGTGACATATATTTTATCTCTTTGGCAGTTACCTAGAGATAAGTATATGAACAGTATCCCACCTTGACTCACTTCTCTCATATATTTCATTTGGACATTTTGACAATTCAACTCATCTAAAAGCATTTTCCAGTTTTAAGTATTCTAATAGCACTGCTCCTAACTGGAGTGTTGGCATTTCAATTCCAGTCCACATGTTGAAGTGTCCCTGAACAAAGATGCTCATCCCGGTGGCTGTCCCAGTGGTTTGTAAATCTTCAGTGTGGAGAAAAGTGCTATACAAGTGTAATTCCATTTAGGTTAACATTTTCTAAATTTTATCCTGACATTTGTATTTATGTACTGTGTGTGTGTACTCTCTCTCTATATATATATGATAATAATAAATATATACTGTATATATTATTTATGCATTAAGTCAAGCCAAACACTTTCTGACCGTATATGGCTTTAGGTTTTAGAATGAACTGACTTCTCCCTCCAGTGTTTATAATACAATCACATATAATATATAATATAATCATAACCAGACAAACTACCATTTTTGATGTTTTTTCGGTTATATTTCTTAGTCATCAGCTTGGCTCTAGAAACAGCATTTTCTAACATAATTAAGCACACATGATATTGTGTCATATATCACCTGTTTTTTATTTATAGTGCGTTGTAGTTGCAGGTCTTGGAAAACCATTGAAAGAATGACTGATGGGTTATTTTCAGTGAAGGGAAATTACCGCTGAATAGTGATGAAAGGTGTTTCTTTTGTTTGACTCTCCTTGCTTTGTGTTACAGTAATTGCCTCAGCTAAGGAGGTAATGTTTTTACTGCTGTTTGTTGTTTGTTGGTTTGTTCACAGCATAATTCAAAAAAATTCTGGATGCATTTTGATCAATTGTTTTTGGAGAGAGAGGGTATGGCCCATAGAACTAACTATTCATTAGATTTTGGTTTTGCTCCAGATACAGGAATGACTTTATCTGGAAGAGCTTTCAAATTAATAATGACATCAATGGGATTCCAAATGCCAGGGGTAGGTTTTCTGGTTTTCATGGTCAAAGAATCATATTATGACAGTCACACTACCATGGGAATATTGCTTTTAGGGGTAATGGCATTTTGGGGACAGTGATGTACCCTTGTTGGAGGTTTGCGCTCTCTGAGTGGTGTCTATTTTGCACTGGATTTCTTTTACCACCTGTTTATTGTTTTCTTTCCCATCCAGGTTATGGCAATCTAGGTGGTGGTGGTTTTGGAGGCGGTGGTCTTGGAGGAGGTGAGTTCTTGTAGCCTTGAACTGAAACTGGAATAGGTTGTGTGTGCAAGTGTGAAATTTGTACCCTGCTATAAACCTGCATACTCACCTTTGCTCCTTTGTTTCATTTAGGTGGTTTTGGTGGAGGCACTGGGGTCTTTTTCCCAGGAGCTGGACAGAAGGCTGCCAAAAGAGGTACAACAGATAGCAGAACATGTATGGATAGAAATTTTACCAGTGTGAAAGGCAGGGATTCAGAGGTGTTTATTGATTTGTTGATATTGTTATATTTAAACCTATGGTTGCATCCTGTTCCTCACAAAAATAAGCATTTTTTGCTTTTATTTTATTTCAACTTCAGCATCTCATAGGTGATTTCCTCCACCTCATAGAGTTGCCATACCTTTTGGGTCCTAACCTTGTTTGAAAGGGGGATCAGGTTTCAGCCATCTAACTCTAATACACAGGGTGACATTTAGAACAAGGCACTGTATTTTGCTTCAGCCCCCTTATGGCAGTGTCCTGGTGTATCTTTAACTTTGGTGGCACAGAGTTCTGCTTGGATTGTATTAACACATCAAAAACTGGAAAGATGTTGCTTTAGCAGGTCATATATCATTTGTAATATTTAAAAAACTATGAACTATGTAGATATCAGTTACATGGGAACACAGCAGAAATCAAACATTTGGTGTTAGTCTGTTTCTTAATATTTTAGAAATTATGTAAGATGAATGTATGCATCAGTTATTTATTGTGGCTGTGAATCCTGGCGCCTTTTTTAATGATTGTTCCATCAGACACAAAGACAAGTGAAGCGATCACAGGCAGTGGAGTTGGCTTTGCTTCACTTCTAAACAAAATTCAGTGCAGAAGGCTCACTGGCTGTGATGGAAACTGGGAGTCATCAAACATGATGGTTGTTGAAAAGAGAGACTGATTATGTTTCACTTGCTTGCTCTAAATTGTTTGTTTTGATGGTTGCAATAATATTGTCTGGCTTTCAACTCTGTTTCACCCCTTCAGTAGAAATGCTTCAAAGTTCTTAAGTTTTGTTCTCATATATCCATTTATGGTCATCTGTCCTCCTGCCGAGTTTAGGAAGCAATCACACATATCAGCTTGTCAGATATTCAGCTTGAAATCGATCGATGCTGTGTTAGTTAAAAAGGTGTTGAAACAACACTATAAAAACACAATAATTCTATTCCCCAAATCTTTGACATTGACAGATGCTACTAAAATTCTGGCTGTCCTAATCACAGGTGCACAAGGGGATTCTCTGCCCGATGACAGAGCACTGTTCAAACTTGAACTCTGCTGAATTCTGACACAACTTTTTTTGAACTTTGAAAGAGCTGCATACTTGCATGATACGAGAATGCCAAAATGAATGTTTCACATTAATGGTATCTCAATATGAAAAACACTGTTTGGCAAACACGTGTACATTTTTATATCATGTACCGGCAAATGTTGGACAGTTTGAACCTCAGCAGAACCCAGCTTGCCTTGAACTGTGTGTTCTGTGTATCTGCATATGATTTGCTCCAAATTAGACAGGCTGATTATGCATGGACGCAGGAGGGCCCAATAACAGCCTGGCCTGTGCTATGGGAAAGAGCCTACACTTAAGTGTTGGTTGGCAATGACGAAACTGCAGTCCCTAGAATTAGTCTGTACTCTTTCCATGACACTCAAAATTACAATTCATTCCTCTGAAAGAGCACGGATAAAACAAAACATTCTCTTGCCAAGCTCTTCCTCACCAAATCTCCCAGGCCGCATACTTACAGGCAGTGCGCAACGTCTGTCCAGCAAAGTATGAGCAATTTAAGATTAAAAGATGAAAAAAGGTTTAAACAAATAAGCAAATGTGTTTTATTCTGCTGCCAAGCTCCCCTACAAGTGAAGCTGACAGCTCATTTCCCCCACGAGGGGATAGCCAAAGAAATGAGCCATTTCATGATATAAAGCAAATGCCATGGATGCTGGCTGACTGTTCTGATTAGATTAAACGTCAGCCGTATTGCTTTTGATCATGGGCTGATGACAGCCTAGTAAAGCCAGATTAGCTGCTTTCAATACTAGGATCTGGCTCCCTGCTGAAGAGATCACGTCTGGTACAAGGCACAAACCTGCTCATCCAGTATCACAGGGCCCTCTAGTGATCATGGGACAGGGATGTACAGCTATAGAATACTCAGATTGCAAGGTTTTAGTGTGTTCATGACTGCAGTTTAACTAATTGTGGATTTAACCTGAAATTGTATATTTTATATTTTTGTCTCAACACTTTGTATATGAGCAGGAGCTGGGGGCACTGTACTTGGGACAGGAGGAGGGCCCGGTGGAGGCAAGACACACACACCCAACACCTCTGTCTGCCACTTTTCACGTTTTCTATTTTATTTTTGTTTATTTAAATGAGAACTTAAAGAACTTGTCCTAGCAATTACTTGTGTATATTTTTGTCACACTGTGATTTCTGCCTTCCAAGTACAACAGTTCATGCCCAAATTGGCTCTTTCTCAGTTACAGTAGAACTTATCTGGCCTTCAATTGTGCAGTAGCACCTTTCCCAATGTAATAAGAGTGCTGTGTCCTTGAGGGGCAGGAATCACAGTTACAGATGTTTGGATTCAGCACCTGGACAAGAATGATCTGCAAATGTTTTCTGCACTGTTTATTTGTTACACTCTCTTCAATAAGTCATGTAACTTTTTTTTTTTCAGTACCCGTTTTTCCTCAGACTGGCCTTCCAGGAGGGGCTGATGGTGCTGCAGGAAAGAAAGCTGCCAAAGTGCCAGGTTGTGTAGACTCAGTAATAAACTCACAACACTACAGGCATGCTGGATGCAGTTCGCTAGGCCAAATTAATTTTCCATTGCATGTGGCAGGTGTTCGGTGGAAATTAATTATAGTATGTGCTATAAACTTTGTATTTCCTGTTTTTTTTTTATGATGGTACATTTATGTGAGATCAAAAGGTTTCTTCTATTAAACTAACCTGTTAAAAGCAATGACTATTCCAAGGTAGAGTATATTCTAGTTATATAAGAAGTCTTTTGAACTATCAAAATATTATTTTCTCTGTGCTAGTAAGAGGCTATGAAAAGTACAATAGGCTTTTTTCACTTCTGAAGTGAAACTAGATGCACCAGCAAGTGCCAGCAGCTCCTGTGTGGCTTTGCTGCATCTTGTCAGGCTTCACTGTGAAATCTTTGTGGTAGTGTGGTTGTATGGTAGGTTTTGTAATGACTGACAGGTATACTGTACATTTCCTGGTCAGTGTTGTTTCCATGACTCATAAAAGATAGATTATTGCTGTCATGCTAGATCATTTTCATACTGTATATCTGAATGTGGATGCAGAAGTGCAGTATTGTCTTTTCGTTGGCTGCGGCAGGTGTCGGTGTCCCTGGACTTTACCATGGTGGACTTGTGCCAGGAAAAGGTTGGTCTCTGTCATAGATTAATCTCAGACAGTATTTGTCAAGTGTTTCACTGTGTGAATGGGCATTGCTTTTAAAAACAAGTACTGTACAAGCATTAAATGTGGCTGCTTTTTGTTTTTTTATGGCTCCTTTAGGGTTTGGTGGACGTGGAGTTCTGCCAGGGGTGCCCACTGGCACCGACCTGAATTCCAAATCAAGTAAGATTTTGTTGGGGTTTTTTTTTTTACTCATGAGTGTTGAATTTTTTCATTGTCATTGAATACAGAAAAATATACACACTACCTCAATGGGCAATATTATAAAGATATGTTCAATAGAACACAACCAAAAATAAGAGATAAATATATGAAATTAAAAAAGACAAGTTGTAGCTTCCAGTCAAATATGTAGAGCCTTCACTGATGGTTTGAATGTTTATTTGGAGGTCAATAGTTTTATTTCACAAACCAACGTAAGAGCTAAAGAAAATAAAGGACAGAACCATAAATTAAAACCGTGTAGGACCACACTCAATTCTATGAAAAACTAAATCAATAGCTGGTTAGCTAGCTTATATATATCAAGTCAAATAATACTGTATTTTAAACATTTAAAATGTAAGACAAACCTTGTTGCCAGTGTTGACTGGAGATAAACAGCAAACTAGTGTCTTTTTCGTTGTTTTATCACGTTTGTGTAGTCCGTGTTGTCCTTATGTGTTGTACTTTTTCTACCGCCGTTTTTTCCTATTTTCTTCTGTTCTTGTCTTTTCAAAATAAACTTCCATGCACACAGGAAATAACAAAACAAAAGTCTAAACAATACATTGCACAAATAATCAGAAAAACATTCCTATACTTATCACAGCTTAAACAAAACAAAAAAAATGTCTTTTACACTCCCACCAAATTATGAGTGTTTCTTAACAATGAACTTTAAAACACTGATAATTTCTACTTAGAAAATTACCTCTTTACAGAACACAACATATTTGTTACTTTTACCATTGCTTTTGTTTGTTTATTTAATCAGACTCTAATAGCCGAACTATCTTATGAACTGGGCGTTCCACCACTGACACCTTACTAACATGTTCTCCTTTGTCAGGTTTTTGTCTCCTAGAGTTATTTGAACTCTTCTTACCAGTCTGTCTTTATCAATTAAAGTTTCTGTGACTCTTCCAAGCTTCCATTCAGTTCTTGGTAGCATTTCATCTGAGTCTATCACTATGTCACCAACTTGAATGTTTTTTTTTTGGCGTGTGCCATCGCTGTCTGACAGTAATGTTGTGAAGATACTCCTTCTTCCAGCGGCTCCAAAACTGCTCTGTCAGGTATTGCACTTGTCTCCATCTTTTTTGTGCATACAAATCCTCTTTAGTGAATTTGCCTGGAGGTGGTAAGGCCGGGATGGTTTTCATAGTAATGAGATGATTAGGAGTGAGAGGTTCAAGGCTGCATGGATCATTGAGATTATCTACAGTTAGAGGGCGGCTGTTGACTATTGCCATGGCCTCATACAGTAGCGTCCGAAGAGAAGCGTCACTTAGTCTGCCAGAAGAGAGTGAGAGAGTAAAGCTGAGGACATTCCTTACAGTCTTAATTTGTCGCTCCCACACTCCACCAGCATGACTTGCGTGAGGTGCATTTAGCACAAAATCACATTGCTTTGAGGACAAGAAGGTTGTCAGTCTTTTTGGATCCACTTCCTGTAGAGCTGTGTTGAGTTCATTCTTAGCGCCAATGAAATTGGTTCCTTGGTCACACTTTATTTGTCTCACTGAGCCTCTTAATGCAATGAAGCATCTCAGACCATTGATGAATGCATCAGTTGACAGATCATTTAGCATCTCTATATGAATGGCACGAGAGCAGAAACAAGTAAAAAGCAATCCATATCTTTTATGTTCCTTTCGTCCTTCTGCACAAATAATCAGAAAAACATTCCTATATGTATCACAGCTTAAACAAAACAAAAGATGTCTTTTACAGCCATCATGAAAAAGGCACAGCAGAGGATGTTCTTCCTGCGTCAGCTCAGGACGTTCAACCTGCCTCAGGAGCTGCTGATTCAGTTCTACAGGGGAATCATCGAGTCTGTTCTTTCCATTTCTATCTCTGTCTGGTTTGGCTCGGAAACCAAACACGACAGGAACAGATTTCAGAGAAAATCATTGGTGCCAGCCTGCCCTCCATGGAGGACTTGTACACCTCATGGGTCAAAAGGAGGGCAGAGAGGATTTCTGCAGACCCCTCACACCCTGCATACAAACTCTTTGAACTCCTCCCCTCTGGGTGGCACTACAGGTCACTGTACGCTCAGACAACCAGACACAGACGGTTTAGTCTTCCAGGCTATTACACTCTTGAACGACTAGTCTATGTTTTCACTTTTTACATGT